TGTGGGTTGAAGAAGAATCACGAGCCATAGTTACCTTTTTAGAGCTTTATTGGGAGAGAAGGAGAGAGGGGGGGATAGAGACAGAGAGACAGACAGAGAGACAGAGAGAGAGAGAGAGAGAGAGAGAGAGAGAGAGAGAGAGCAGAAAGAGAAAGGGATGCACAGAGGGTCCGCCTGCTTTTTAGGCTGGGACGCCGTCGCAGGCTGGTGACGTAATTAAGGACAAAATCCTTACAATCATTATCCTTGACAACCCAATATAAATCATAATCGCATGTCTTTTGAAGTCCAGAGGTCCAAATAATGATCCTATAAATAAGTATTTATTAACCCCATTTTACAGATGGGATCTGTTACACTTTGGCCTGGAAGATCTTGATTTGAATTTTATTTATTTATTTATTTATTTATTTATTTATTTATTTATTTATTTATTTATTTATTTATTTATTACAGACAGGGTCTCACTATGTAGCCCTGGCTGGCCTTGAACTCATAAGGATCTACCAATCTACCTGACCCTGCCTCCCAAGTGCTGGGTTTAAAGGCCTGCACCACCATGCCTGGTTTGATCATGAGTTTTAAAAGCGGGGGAGGGGAAGCCTACATTGATACGGAGAAGAGAACCTCTGCCACCCAGCCTTGCCCCTAGCACAGAGTGAGCCTGTGAATGAAGGCGCTCCATCTCTAGAGAGCATGGTTCGAATCATAGTTCATATGAATGCAACCCCTATTTTCTTCTTGTTACTTCTGTAAATAGCTTGTAAATAATGATATTTAACTTCTTTGGAATGCTTTCAGTCATGAAAATTTCATTACTTCATGAAGTAGACTATTTTGAGGATTTTTTTTTTAATTATTGGAAAGTTCAACTTTGGAGCTGGAGTGATAGAGTGCTTGCTTTATACGCACAGCACACAGGGGCCAGGGATAGGCATTTACACAGCGTGGAGATGTGTCTATGTCTTGCCTCACCTGCCTAAGGCACCTGATTGCCTTAATGAAGAGCTGAATGGCCAATAGCTAGGCAGGAGAGACAAGGCAGGACTTCTGGGCAGAGAGAGGAACTCAGGGTTAGAATCTGGCATGGCAGGAGACACCATTGAGGCACGGAGGAAGTTGGACATACAGAATGGAGGAGAGGTTAATAAAACCACATGACAGAACATAGATTAATAGAAGCAGGTTAATTTAAATTAAAAGAGCTAGTTGGGAACAATCCTAATCTACATGCAAAGCCTTCATAATTAATAAGAAGTCTTCATGTCATTATTTGGGGGGCTGATATCCCAAAAGAAAGACTTAGAACAGATAGGGCTACACCTTGAGCTGAAATCAGCTGACGCCTTACACAGACTCACAGAAATTGGGCCTATTCTATGGAATGGCTCAAGTGAGCCTAAAAACAGGTCTTAAAAAGTGCCCATGGAGGTCAGAAGAAGGCATCAGATCTCCTACAACTGTTAAGGATGGTTGTGAGCCACCATGTGGGTGCTGGGAACTGAACCCAGGTCCTCTGCAAGAGCAACACATACTCTTAACTCCTAAGCCATCTCTCCAGCAGGTCTTTAGAGGGTATGTGAGGGAGGCATGGGCCTCAGATATTTAAGGTTAGGTTTTAGGGATCTGAAAACTTAAAAAGGGGGGAAGATTGATTTTACTTGTCTCTAAATTTAATTTTCTTTCAATTATTGAAAGGAGGCAAGCCGGGTGGTGGTAGTGCATGCCTTTAATCCCAGCACTTGGGAAACCAAGGCAGGCAGATCTCTATGACTTCAAGGCTGGCCTGGTCTACAGAGCTAGTTCCAGGATGTCTAGGGCTGTAAAACAGAGAAACCCTGTCTCGAAAAGACAGAAAAGAAAGGAGACACAAACCACAGTAGTATTAACAGTCTTTATGATGACCTGCAACAGAATTCACAAGTCAGATGAGGTGGTGTATCCCTGTAATTCCAGTACTTGAGAGGCTGAGAAAGGAAGGTCATTGTGAGTTCAAGCCTGGGACACATCTTGAGACTCTGCCTCAAAAACAAAACAAAAATCAAAGATAATTTTGTACCACATCACAGCAATACCAGAAATCTTGACAAATCATCTGAGCTCAGAATAACTTTGTAATTGCAGATGTTACTGGGCATGCTTATTGTTATTAATTAAAAATGTGAATGAAGGCCAAGCATGGTGTTACATGCCTTTAATCCCAGCACTCGGGAGACAGAGGCAGATGGGTCTCTGTGAGTTCGAGGACAGCTCGGGCTACAGATTGAGACCCTGAGCCTGGCGGTGGTGGTGGCGGCGGTGGTGGTGGCGGCGG